TGAAAGAAATGCAGAAAGAGAAACAGTACGAAAGAAAAGTGTGCATGGAACAGGCTCAAAAATTGCTCGTACTAAAATAGAATTAGAAAACCAATGGCTACAACATCTTCAGTTTATACATAAAAAATATGAAGATAGAAAAAATTTTGATGAAATGGAACATAAAAGAAAAATAGAAGAACTTGAATTGAAGAGAGAAAAACTGAGATTAAAAAAGAAAAAAATGTTTTTGGAGGAGCAAAGATTAAAGCAAAAGATAGAGCAACATCGAGAGAAAGTGTCTATTGAAAAAGAAAAATGTGATTTATTAAGAAGTCTAATTCAAAGTCGAAGCAGTATTTTGTAAACCAAATATCCAAGAACTGTGATGTTAATTATATTTATATAAAAAGGTATAATTTTAAAAAAATATTTGATACTTTAACGTGATGAACAGATTATAATTAAACATAAAAATTATTAATTAAAATAGAAAGTACTAAACTAAGGAGCCTATTCTGTAAACGATATCGTTACGTGCTTTGCGCAGTTTCTCTATGGTATATTATATCTCCGCAAAGCACGTAATGATGTCCACGTAATGTTTACAGAATAGGCCCCCAAAAAAGTTTCATATTTAATACAGTGTAATAATTGTATGTTTGTGTGTAAGAATCATTTGGTAAAAGCTAAATCAGGATATAAAAAGTACTTCTTTGTATCAAAAGAATTGTCTGAAACATATGAGTTAAGAATGTAAAATTAACTTTTAGTTTAAAAAAATTTATATACTTATTTTTGTTACAGAATATTTTAAACTTTGTTACTTATATGTAACTCTAAACATATAATAATTATGTTTAAATAAGTCATCTTGGATAGACTGATATTATTTTTATCTTCACGTGTAATATTATTTTTACTTTTAAAAGTTGCTATAAAAAGAACCATATTCTTTAAACCTGCACAAAGTACAAAAGACGTAGTTATTATTTATTAATGTTACTAAGCAGAAAATAAAAGTTAATATAAACTTTGAGTTTTATAAAGTAAGAAAATGCTCATTACAGTATTTATTGTATATTATATTTTTTTTGTTTTTCTTAAACTGACTTTAAACTGTTATATAAAATAAAAGATGATAAAGCAAATATATTTTTATTTTGTTTTTAAATTACAAACTATGTTATACATTTAATGAAATTTATTCTACGCGACAAGTATTTCATTCAGATACAAAAATATAAATTTCTTGCTCTTCTTCAACATTTCTGTAAATAACAGAAATAACAATTGTAAAACATATTACTTTTAAATAAAAAAGTAAAATAAAAACAAGTTTAAGTTGTAAGTTGTATTTATTTATTTATAGTATAATTTACTTATAATTTACGTAAAGCAATATTTAAAAAAAAAAAAAAAAATGAATAGGTTTATATAGTATATATATATATATATATATATATATATATATATGTATAACCGTTTTTTTAAATAATTTTGTTTTTACAATAGTACTTATAAAATAATTTGTATGTGTTATACTTTTCTAAATTAAAATGATATAATTATTGCAATCATTTACTTTTGATCAACGTCAAATAAAAAAATTTGAATAAATTCGTTAAGGGTACATTTCGTTAAACAATAATGTTCGACGATCTGCAAAGTTTCCCCTGTATAGCATTTTGTCTCTTTCGTTATTATAATTTTCTAAAGCATGAAGTTCTTGTGCAACGTGATCATCATAAAAGTCTTCGCCATTATCTCCATTATCTAAACATATATTATGAAGTACACAACAACTCACTATAATCCGAGTCATGAAATAGACATCACGTAACGGTAGTTTGTGTAATTGTCGAAATCGACCCTTTAAGATACCAAAAGCTCTTTCAACTACTACTCGAGTTACGGAAATTTTATTATTAAATGCATGTTGTTCCCTTGTAAGATTACCATTATCCCTAAAAGGACAGACAATCCATTTTCTCGCTACTTTATTATAACCTTTATCTCCTAATAAAAAAGTACTATTTGAAAAAATATTTTCTCTTTCTTGCTCAGCAATGTGAAAAAGTTGTGATCTTCTTAACATTCGAACATCGTGAAAAGATCCCGGATCACCACAATATACATTGGTAAATCTAGTGTTACAATCAGTAACAGCCTGTAAAAGAATTGAATAACATTGTTTCCTGTTAAAGTATTCTCTACTATTTTCTTCGGGTTTATTTATATAAAAATGTGAGCCATCTATTGCTCCAATGCAGTTACGAATTCCAGCTGCTTCTTCAAATCCACGAGATATACGAATTAAATAATTTTCTTGCGGCCATTTAATAACATCAGGAACCAGAGTTATTAGTCAATTGATTACTCGACGTATAATACGAAATATAGATGATAATGACATATCAAAGAGATTAGACAGTGTTCGGTGAGGTTCTTTGTTACTTAAAAACCAGAGAGTCATCAGTAAATATAATTCCGCAGGTTTCTTTTCTTTTCCAAATGCATGCGTTGGTATAAATCTGCTAGCTTCTAAAGATTCTGAAAATATCCAATAAGTATAAAAATGGTTGTACATTACCAAAATATATTACAAAACTATTTTAATATTATAAATAGATAATACTTACCTAGTAACATATAAACACATCGGCGATTTAATCTGAAATCCTCTCTAAATTCTTGATTACTTTTTGCATGCACTACATGAAGAAAATTCTCTACATGCTGTCGTCTACGACCGTTTAATAATAGTTGAAGAAGAGGAAATAGCAAATCTTCTTCAAGCCTTTCATTTTCCAAAAATAGGTTTTGGTCTTCATCTGTAGAAGTACTGCTACTACTAGTATCAGTACTGTTATTATCACTACTGCTGCTACTATCAGTGTTTTCGAATAATAAATCCATTGCGTTAAACAAATCTTTCTCCATCTCTTAAAAGATTCTTCACTTTTACATATATCTAAATTGCAAATATAACCTGTTTATTTAACGACAACAAATAATTTCTCCAAATTGTAAATATACTTATACATATGTAAATTAATATTTTTATAAAATACGTACGACTATTATATGTATATACTTAAATTGTTAAAATATAATTATATAATTAAAAGTAAACACAAACATACTTTGATAATAGGTCTGTTCTTTGCAGCTGAACTGGCTGCACTAGTTCAGAGTTTATCTTTTTTACACCACATTGGAAGGAAAAGGATGAACTCGGAACTAGTGCAGCTAGTTCAGCTGTAAAGAACAGACCAATAATATTTTATCAACTTCTGCGCCTTTCCATTTAGCGCATTGGAGTTATCAACTTGAGCTAACTTGAGTCGACACAAGTGTCGACACAAGTCATGTAAATGGAAAGCACCCAATGTTAAGCAAAAGTGTGGTACTGGTTGGAAAATTTCGCAATAGAAATGCGTAAAATTATTTATAAGCAACGGAATAACGCGTGTATGCGACAGAACCGCAAATAACTTTTATTTCACAGAAACTTCAAAAAATTATTTATAAGCAGCGCGTATATGTGATTGAACCGCAAATTTTCAATAACTGGAATAAAATAAAAATAAAACAGTTAGGTGTAAAAATTAAATTTTATTATGCAAAACATTGCTATTGTCAAAAAGTTCAAAAGTTCAACTTTCTTAACAACCGTAACTGTCAATAAGCGCAACCGAAATTAATAATTTTTAACTAGCCGTTGCCATTCTTCGCGATTGGCGACGAGGCGTTTGCGACGTATTGTAGAATGGCTCTAAATGTTTCATATCTCAACGCGTAGTTAAACCTGGACATTATTCTAATTGATTTCGTTTTTAATTAAAAATATTTCAACTTTCTACATAGACTATACGTATACATTCCATTGTTGTATACATATTTTATGTAAAATTTTATGTAAAAGTTGAAATATTACTATTTAAAAGCAAAAACAACACGGATGTCCGGTTTTAGGTACTCGACCAAGCTTTGACATTTTTACCTGAAACAAATAATGTAATTCTTATTTGTTTAACGTTTGTTCTTCAGAGTTGTCTTTCTCTCCTGTCCTTTTGTCGCTCCAAAAGTCGTGGTTGACCCCTCTCGCCTCGACTGTCCGTGTGCGTCGACCACGCATCTTGCTGCAATTTCTCTCCTTCGCAACGCATCGTTCCTGGTACGATAGTAGCTGCTGCTGCTGTACTCCTCCTTTTCATAGGACTTTCATCCGAAGACGTCGTTTGATACCG